CGGGCTGAATTTCCTGCTGCTGGGATGTGTGTTGCTGATGCTGGCCGTGCTGCACCCTCCCCTGCCTGCCCTGCCCCAGGCTGTCCCAGCTCAGGTCGCCGAGCACGGCCCCGAAGCCGGGTACCGCCTGGACTTCGGGGAATCCCAGGAGTGGGTGCTGGAGTCCAAGGACGAGGACCAAGAGTACGGCCCTCTGGAGGGTCTGCCGCCCTTCATCTCGCTGCGGGAGGATCAGCTCCTGGTGGCTGTGGCCTCTCCCAGGGCGAGAGGGAACCAGAGCCAGGGCAGGAGAGGTGGCAGCTACCAGCTCATCAAGCGGCTGAGCAGGAGGCCGGACGAGGACGCCCCAGAGAGGGACTGGGCGGCCGAGGAGGAGGACGCGGGGGCATCTGAAGAAGAGGCGCTGACCTCGCTCAGCCTGGAGGAGGCGCTCAGTGCCCGCATCCCCCTGCAGAGGGCGCTGCCGGAGGTACGGCATCCGCTGTAAGTAGGCTCTTGCTTCTCCTTCCCCCGTTCCTGGAGGGCAACCAGCATACTCAGGGATGCAGACCTTCTGCATTCTGCTTCCACTGCCTCAGGGCAGCGCTTCTCCACGTGTGGTCCCTGGACCAGCGGCGGCAGCAGCAGCACCCCTTGAGGACGTGTTAGAGACGCAGAGACAGAAACCCTGGGTGGGGTCCAGCAATCTGTCTTTAACCAGCCTTCCAGGGGAGAACCACCGTCCTAGAGACAGAAAAGGAGGAACCCTTCCTTGTCCCTTCTCTTCCCGTCCTGGGTTCTAGTCCTTCTGTCTCTGTGGATTGTCAAACAGCTTTATCTCTATAACCCAGAGGGGCCTAGAGTGGATGTTCTCCAAGACACTTCCAGTTCCAGCACATTTTAATAGTATGATTGTTGGGTACTTTTATTTTGGATGAAGGTAACAATTGCAGCTAACCTTTATGTGGCTCTTGCCATGTGCCTGACTTTAATCAGAGAGCTTTTCATGTATTGACTCAAAAATCCTTACAACTTATAATGATGGGTGCTAGCACTACGATCATGCCTATTTTATGTGTATGAAAATGAGGCACAGAGAAGCCAAGTGACTTACCCACAGTCACACAGCCAGTAGGTGCCAAAGCAGGGATTTGCTCCAAATTGCCTGAGCCCCCCAGTCTTCGCCCCCTTCCTTAGTCGGTGAAACTAAGGGGACAGGTCCAGGACCCAGGATCTAGAACACTGCACTCAAGCAGCCTGACCTGGCAGGGTGCCCCCACCCCCAGGAGGCAAGCTGGGAAGTAGGATGACATACAGGCTGTGCCCAGGCAAACGGTGGGCTCGTCCTGGACCCCCTGCCCTCCCCACCATTACCATGGCGGGTGCAGAGGAGGGGTCTGGTTACCAGCATCCAGGAGCAGTGCAGCTGGGTAGTTGGGTGACTAGGTCCCTTCCCTATAAGCACTGCTCTTCCCAGAGCCCAGAGTTTCCCGGGAAGCAAACCCATCCTCCAGCCCTCTGGGAGGGAGGATTGGAGTGAAGCAGCAGTTGGGAGCTGGACCACTTACTTCTCAGATCCCTGATGGGACTCCTCTGAGCCTGGCCACTCAGCCACTCGCCCTCAGGGGCGTGCAGATGCAGTCGCCTGGAGGGTGAAGCCTCCTTAGACTGTGTACATCAGAGTCTCACCCATGCCACCAAAGCCCCAGCCCTGATGCTCTGACTCCAGGTCTTGGCTGCAACAGCTCTTTTCAGGCAGCTCCCAGACCCATCCAGGCCCCGCCCCCTCATCAGAGGTTTGTGCTCTCTGCAGCCCTAATTCGTAACACTCATGACAACGAAGCTAAATGGTCATTGATGTATCCGTTTATTCAGTGCCTGCTTCCCTTGTCATGCAGTGAAACTGTAGTCCCAGCACACAGTAAAGAAACGATTGCTGAATGAATCAATATATTGTTTTCCAATTCTTTTGATACATCTTTTCATTGGCCTGGAGCAAGGACATTTTACCAACCAGACACACGGCCTCGATTAAGAGTCTCTGGCTCCCAAAGCTGTGAGTGTGTGTGTGTCTCTGTGTGTCCGTATCGTGCAAGTGTGCGTGCATTGTGTTGTGTGTGTGTCCAATGGATGCTGTGCATGTGTGTTGTGTGTAGTGTGTTAGTGGTGCCCGTGTGCCTGGTGCCTGTGTATGCTGTGATGTGATGTGCACGGGTGCGAGCTGTGTGCTGTCTTGTCATGTGTGCATGTGTGTTGTTGATGTGTCAGTGTTCATGTGTGTATGCATCGTGATTGCGTGACACGTGCACGTATCATGTATGTGGTGCACATGGCATTGTGCCTGTGTGTGTTGTTATGTGGTGCTTGGGCTGTATGTTTTTGTGGTACGTGTGTCATGACTGTGTGCACATGTGTGATATGTATGATGTGCTTGTGTGTGGTGTGTGTTTTACCCATGCGTTGTGTGAGTGGTGTGAAGGGCACGGGTGTATTGTGTGTGTGTGGTTCATGTGTGTATGTTGTGCACGTGGCGTGATGGGCATCCCTACTGTGCTTGTGTGCATGTGTGTGTGCTGTGATGGATGGCTTGTTTGGCGTGTTGTGTGGTCTTGTATTGTGTGTGTGTGGTTCATGTGTGTATGTTGTGCACGTGGCGTGATGGGCATCCCTACTGTGCTTGTGTGCATGTGTGTGTGCTGTGATGGATGGCTTGTTTGGCGTGTTTGTGTGGTCTGTGTACATGTGTATTTGTTGTGAGTGTGCTGCACATGAGCATTGTGTGGTGTGTGCTCCGTGTGTTATGAATGTGTTGTGCAAGCGGTGCGTGTGTACTTTTGCAAGTGTGTTGTCTGTGTTATGCTTGTGGTGTGAAATGCATGGGTGAGTGTTGTGCATGTGTGTGCATGTGTGGATACACTGTCATGCGTGTGATGTGCACGTGTGTATGTGTGCATACGCGTGTGTGCACCACTTCTGTGTGTGCCTCTTCCAGCCAGGGTGACCAACTAGTCTCAATTTGCCTGGACTTTCCCATCACAGTAACCCCTCGGTCCCAGGCTAACCGGGCCGGTAGGTCTCCCCACCCACAGCTGGGTTCTGTCCGGCAGGATGTGGCGCCCTCTTCTGGCCGCAGCCTGTCCCTGCAGCCTGTGTGCCCGGCCTGACACCCCAGACTCCCCTCCCCCAGAAGCACACAGCCACTGGCGCCGCCCCTTCCTGGCAGGCTCCAGGATGCAGAAGGGATTCTCTGCAAAGTAAGGCCACAACCCTCCCTCCAGGGTGCCAGGACTCTCCTTCATCCCATCACTCTATTTATTAAAAAAAATTTTTTTTTAATTGGAGCATAATTGCTTTACGATGTTGTGTTAGTTTCTGCTGTACAGCAATCCGCTATATGTATACATATATCCCCTCCCTTTTGGACCTCCCTCCCCCACATCCTACCCATCTAGGTCATCACAGAGCACTGAGCTGAGCTTCCTGTGCTTTATAGCATGTTCCTGCTAGCTATCTGTTTTACACATGGTAGTGTATATATTTCAAACCTAATCTCCCAATTCATCCCGCCCTTCCCCCCGCTCCGTGTCCACATGTCCGTTCTCTACTCTCCGTCTCTATTCCTGCCCTGCAAATAGGTTCATCTGTACCATTTTTCTAGATTTAAAACTGGGCCCAAATACAACCCATAAAAGAACAGCCATTTCTTAAGCACCTACCCTTTGTGTCTGAGGACACTCTTTATGCCCACCAGATTGCATAGAGCCTGTTTCTCAAATTTCAACATGTATGCAAGTCGCCCCAGGCATCTTGTGAAAATGCAGAGTATGTTGGTAGTTGGCCAGGGGTGCAGCCCCAGATGCGACATTTCTATCAGGTCCCAGCACTGATGGTCCAGAGACCACAGTTTTGAGTAGCAAGGGACTACATCACTAGTTCCCAAACGTATGTGCATGTTAGATTCCCGCATAGTGTTTGTTTAAAATGTGGATTTTTCAGGGCTTCCCTGGTGGCGCAGTGGTTGAGAGTCCGCCTGCCGATGCAGGGGACACGGGTTTGTGCCCCGGTCCGGGAAGGTCCCACATGCCGCGGAGCGGCTGGGCCCGTGAGCCATGGCCGCTGAGCCTGCGCGTCCGGAACCTGTGCTCCGCAATGGGAGAGGCCACAGCAGTGAGAGGCCAGCGTACTGCAAAAATAAATAAATAAATAAAAAGTGTATGAGCAAGTCTGACTTTTCCACTAGCTATACACAACAATCCTATGAACTGTGTATCACTACCTATTCCCTCAGGATAAAAAAAAAAAAAAAAAAAAAAAAAAAAAATGTAGATTTTTCAGACTCCATCGTTAGAGACTATCGGTGGCTCTGAGTTGGAACCCAGAGATCTGAATTTTCACAAGCTGATACTAGACAGTTTGGGGAACCACTGGTATAGATGGTGAGTGGAGAGGTAGTAGGGTTCTGGAAGTTTCCATGGAGGAGATAGTTCTGGGATTGGAGAATAGAGAAGAGAGGCAGAAAGGAACACAGTCCCCTTCATGGCCCAGGGTTTTCCACTTAAACGCAAATGTCAGGTCAGCTGTAGCTGGCTGCACGCTACCTGCCTATGCCAACTTATATTTACCGTTTGGCCCATGTTTCCCTGGTTTATATGCCCGCAACTGTGACTAAATCATACGCCCGTAGAACAGTGGACCTGGGGTTGAATTCTGGATGCCACCCCTTACTGTGTGACCTTGTGTAATCACTCAACCTCTCTGAGCCTCGGTTTCTCCAACTGTAAAATGGCAATGATAATAACACCCTTGCGTAGGGTTGTGGATCAAATGAGATGAAGTGTGTGCTAATTCCCCCCTGCCAGCCCCCCCGCCCCCCAGTGTTCAAGTCCAAACAGAAGATGCTCTTATTGTATTCTCTAGCATAGGACCTAGGAGTGAGTTGGAAAGATGGAGGAAGATTGGAGCAGGCAGCTGTGGGCCTCACACCACTGTCCTTTCTCTGACCCATGAGTTATTTTCTGCCCCTCCAGCTGCTAAGTCATCACAAATTTGGCAGCACATTGGAATTACCTGGGAAGTCATAAGAAGGACTCCTGCGCGGGTCGCACTTTCAGGGATTCTTATTTAGTTGGTCTGGGGTGAGGCCTGGGTGTCCCCTGGTAGTTCCAACGTGCAGCCAGGGCTGAGAACCAGGGCTGCGAGGCACCAGGCACTCCCCCGCCAGTGGGGGGAGGTAGGAAGGCGCATCTCCCCCTCTGCTCACCCCGCCCCGCTCCGGCCCCAGAGGCCCGTTTGGCAGGAGCTTTGTTGTCAAGGAGGAGGGGTGCTGCAGTCCACAGGGTCAGGTCAGTTCCTGGTGGGCAGCGAGACACCCCAGGATGGCTTTGGCACCTGGGCTGCGAAAGAGAGGAGAGGCTGCTGACAGGGCATCATCAGTAAATCTGAAAGAGTGGGCATGCCCCTTGGGGAGGGGTTAGTAGCCTGGGGCAGAGACTGAGGGCTGGAGC